GCTGTACTGCCAAAGGTGATCTATAAATTTAACATAATCCTGCATCACAATCCCAATGACTTCCTTCACTAAAGGAAATAATCCAAAAATTCATATGGAGCAAAAGACCTCGAATATCCAAAACAATTTTAGGCAAAAAAAAAAAAGCAATGCTGGAGATATCGCAATCCCAGACCTCAAGCTTTACAATACAGCCATAATAACAAAACCTACTTGGAACTAGCACAAAAATAGACTGAAAGATAAATAAAACAGACTAGAAGACTGAGAAATAAAGGCATATATTACAAAAAATACAGAAATAGTTTTTCATTGGTGTCTTAAGTAGCCTGATAAAATGTCATGCAGTTCCACTCTGTCCTACATTTATTTTTGGTTTTTCAATTTTTATTTTTTGATACTGGGGATCAAACCCAGAACATTGTCCTTGCTAGGCAGGTGCTTTGCCACTGAGCTACAGCCCAGCCCTTTCCTACCTTTATCTAGCATATCTGCACTGTATGCATTACCTGCCCAATGGCAGTTGAGAAAAACTGCATTGAAGCTTTTATTATAATATATTGTTATAATTGTTCTATCTTGTAAGTATTTTTGTTAATCTCTTGCTATGCCTAGCTTAAAAATTAAACAACATCATAGGTTGTATGTATGGGAAGAAAACATAATATACATGCATACACACATATAAAGTTTGATATTATCTGTGTTTTTAGGCACTCATTGAGGACTTTAGAACATAAAGAGGGATCTAAGGATAAGAATAAGATGGGTAACTACTGTAATTTCTAGCAAGGGTTGAAAATTGATGATGTGAGCCACCTCAAGATGTTCCCATCCCCTTATGCCAAATTATCAGCCTAGGGCAAGACATGTGACTCAGTTCTAGCCAGTGACACATAAAAGTAAGTCAGCTAAGATAGGGAGGTTCTTGGAAAGATATTTATAAGCAGATTAAAAGAAAGAACATTATACCCACTAACCACTTTTTTTCTTTTCTACCTTTATTTTGTGCTGGGGCTTGAACTCAGGGCTTCATGCTCTCGCTTGGCTTTTTTGCTGAAGGCTGATGCTCTATCCCTTGAACCACACTTTGGACTCCAGCTTTTTGATAGTTACTTGGAGATAACTGTCATGGATTTTTCTGTTTGGGCTGGCTTTGAACCTTGCTCCTCAGATCTCAGCCTCCTGAATAGCTAGGATTACAGGCATGAGCTACAGTGTCTGGCTCTTCCCTCCTTCATTTTAACAACCTTTGTGTAGTTGGGTAAGGATATAATGCTGGGAGCTTGTGTCTTGTGTCTTGTGACACTGGGAATGTGAGCTAGTGGGTGAAGTCAAGAAGATGTTAAAGGTAGAAAGACCCAGAGGCCATGGTGACTTGATACAGGATGTTACAATTCTTCCTCAGCCCTACGAAAAGCTCACCTATTCCATCTAAGCCAAATTCTGTCTCTCACATACAGACCATCTTGAAGTTGAACCAAGAGCATGCATGCTCAGGTGGCCCCTGAGGAGTATGGTTGCAGTGTCCTTGGCTTCCTGTTGAAAGCTTAGGGATATTTTCTTTGTTCATGGTGAAGACATATCAGTGATAAGGCTAAGGGTATTTTGCAACCCAAACTAGCCTGTAAATACCCAGCTAGGTTTCCAGGATGAGTGCTTCAGAATGCTATGAGAAAGCCAGAAGATGCTTGTTAGATTATGAACACTGGAATCTAATACCACTGTCCCATTCATACCCAGCCCGGGATGACTTTTGTTACATTACCTCTCTGAGTCTCCAACTCCTTATTTGTAACTGGTATATATGTGGAGTGTTTACCACAATGCATGGTGAACAGCTCTTCTGTAAGGACCCTTGCGTCTATCCTGTCCATCCGTCTGTCCATCTTGTCAGTCTGTCTGCCCTTCCCTTCCTCCTTCCCTTCCTCCCTCCCTCACTCCTTTTTTTCCTTCCTGCCTCCATTCCTTTTCTTCCCTCCTGTTCCCCCAGAGGAATGTTGTAAACTTTTAGAAAAATCCATTAATGGATCAGTAGCATTATCTCCCAGGAATATAAGAATTACAATAAACCCATAGGTTGAAAGTACACAATGCAGGAGAAAGGGCTGTCACCAAAGTCTGAAGAGCCTAAAGCTTGCACCCAGATGTCACTGCAGCCCTGAAAAGGAGGCCCTATCAGCCTTCTACACAGTAGCACCGGTGCCTTCCCCCTTAGTCACTGTCACTGCACAGACTTGCTCTTACTGGAGGACAAAATCATTGTCCTCTACCCTATACTCCAGACTGACTCTCTTTCTCATTCTCTCTCTGCGTCTCTGTCTGTATTTATATTAATAATGGGGCTTGTACTGAGGGCCTGGGCACTATTCTTTAGCTTTTTTTGTGCTCAAGGCTGGCACTCTGCCACTTGAGTCACAGCTCCACTTCCAGCTTTTTGCTGGAGATAAGCATCTCATAGACTTTCTTACCTGGGCTGGTTTTGAACCATGATCCTCAGATCTCAGACTCCTGAGTAATTAGGATCACAGGCATGAACCACCAGCAACCAGCTTCCTATCTCGTCCAGCTAGCATTCCCTAAGTGTTAATAAAACTGAAGAGAAAGGAGCAAAACTTTCTAGGAGATTGTTATGTTTTAAAACCATAAAGTGCTGCAGTATTAGCCCAAGAAGGAGTTCTCTGAAGCCTGTGAATGGAGGGTTAGGAATCATTACCTAGACTCTGAAGAAGGTCCCATTTAAGGAGACAGGAGAAATTCCAAGGGCCAGGTGGAAGGCTGAGGTCAATCAAACTCAAGAAATGGGCCAGATGGAATGCAGATGTACAAACTGAGCTCTACCTAGGCACCAGTTGCTCGTACATGTAATCCTAGCTACTTAGAAGATCTTGGTTCAAAGCCAACTGGGGTAGACTAGTCCTCAAGACACCATTTCCAATTACTCAGCAAAATGCCAGATTGGTGGCATGGCTCAACTGGTAGAAAGCCATCTTGAGCAAGCTGAGTGGAGGCTCTGAGTTCAGGCCTTTGTACTAGTAAAAGAAACAAATACTCCTGAGCTCTCAGGATGTTCCTTCACCCACAAAATTCAAATCATGACTCCCCCCTCCCCAAAGAAGACAGCTAATCAATGATGTAGATGGAAAGGGAGATTGTCAACCAGCAAAATTCTGTCAAGACATATAAAAGCCTGTCAACAACCCTGTATTGGCCCCAAAACAACAGCATGTTCCTTTGCCTAGATGCTGGCTGTGTTTCGCTTGTATTGACATTCCAATAAATCTTTGCTTTCTCTGATTCTCCTGTCTTTGTAAATTTTTTTCCAACCCATAGCTCCAAAGACTCCCACCACACACTCCATCTTTAAACACAGGCTTAGCAACTGGAAAGGATGTTTTTGTTAATATGTGACCAGTCACTCTGTACCATCCCTTCCTTCTTTCTGGAAATCAGGAAAAAACACAGACTTCCTAGCAATTACAGAAATCAACTTGATTACAGGGAGAAAAATTAGTTAGCCAGCTTCCTGAAATCACTCTGAAACCCTTGCTCCATTAACTACAAAACCTGTCCTCATTAACATCTTCAACCTTTGACCCTGGAAACCCATCCCAGGGGACTGCTGAATTACACTATAAAATAATGAATGGAGGAAACTTTGGCCACTTCCACCCACACCGCCCTGTGGTTCTTCCTCTGGTCTGCACCATGCAGAAGTTGGCATCCTGCCAACTCACCCAATGTTTGGGGAAATGCTTGACCATGCAACTAGCTAGACTCCTAAGGTCAGCAGCATGCAAGCCATCTCTTCCCTGGTGTCCAGTGTTACATGTACCTGTTGGCCTAGCACTGAACACATTTGGAAACCATTATGTAGCAGCTTCTGATAACTGCTTTACAGAAGAAAAATTGCACCCCCAAAGAAGAAGAGGGTGACTTTCTCAAAGAGATGGGGACAGCAGTCACCCATGGCTCATGCCTATAATCCTAGCTAGTCAACTTTGAACCTGAGGATTGTGGTTCAAAGCCAGCTGGGGCAGGAAAGACCATAAGAATCTTATTTCCAACTAATCACCAAAAGAACTAAAAGTGGCTCAAATGGTAGAGCACTAGCCTTGAGCACAAAAGCTCAGGGCCAGCATTCAGGTCCTGAGTTCAAGCCCTAGGATGTGTATACACACAGAAGGAGGGATAAGATGGAATTGGGGGGAGGGGTGGAATTCAGCCCTGAGGTCTTATCGCACTAGAGGAAGCTGACCAGGCAGCTTTTGTGACTTGATGTTAACGGGATGTGGTCAAATATCCTGCAAACATGGGGAGAGGAGGAAGGAGGAAGGGTAGGCGAGGGGAAAACCCAAGCCAGGGCAAAGCAACATCTGTTCCATTCCATTATAACAGGGCCTGAAGTACATAAAAGTAAATACACTGTTCAAGAGCTGCTGCTTGCTTACTTTGTTACTTTCTACTTGGGAGGAAGCCCTGGAGCTTAAGCAAAAGAGAAATGCTGCATGCAGCAGAAAGAGTAAGAATAGGTAGGATTAAGGAGTGGCTATCTTTCCACCAAATAGTGTTTTGGCTTTCTCTGGACCAGCAGGTACCACGGCAAATTTGACAAATTGGCATCAGTTTTATAGCTATCAATCTCAAAGTGTGTCTTAAATCCCTACTCTTCATAACAGTTCTCAAAAGTCAAATTCCTTTACGACTTCATCTGCTGTCCCTGGTGCTCTGCTTCTTCCTTCTTCATAAAGGGGAGTGGGTTCACAGAGGCCTGAGCTCTGTCGCAGCTACATTTAAATATCCTCTCTACGCTCAAAGTCGCCCTGCTAAGGTAAGGTGGCTAAACTAGTGAAACCAGGCAATCTACCAGATTTTACAGGGAGGACTTCCCCTGCTTCTTGGGACCAGATCTCCACAGTATGGAGTTCTGGATGGCACTGTGCTCTCCCCACTCCCTCTAAGGTCGTTCCAGGACCCTGCCCAGTGCAGAGCTATCTTACCTGGATCTGCCCCTGAGGGTGAGGGTGCAGGGTTACAAGGCACCATAAGCCTCAGTCTCCAGTGGTATCTCCCCTTCCCTGGATGGCTCCAAATGGCCCTCCTCTCCACTGCGAGGGTAGGCTAGCAGACGCATGGCGGGTGCACAGGCGGCCTCCACCTGGCGCACCTGCTCTTGGCTCAGGCGTTCACGCCAGGCGTGGACAGCCTCACGGGCGTCACGTGCAGATAAGTGAAAGGGCCGATCCACATTATAGGCTGTGCCCCGAGTCATGTTGAGCGCAAAGGCGTCCAGTGCAGAGAGTGCGCGCAGCCCGGAGAAGCGCAACAGGCGACGCAATTGGGCTCGGGGCTGTCGCACCAAGTCCTCATAGCGCAGTCTTAGGTAGCGTCTCCGCAGCCAGGCGGGAGCACCTCGAGCAAACAGTAGGTCGCGCAGCCAGGCCTCGCAGATCACTTCAAGCGCTCCAGTCAAGAAGAAATCGGAGCGCGCTGAGGGCAGCGATCGAGATTGACTCCCAGGACGAGCGCCCACCCCGTGAGCCAGCAGCACCCGGTGGAAGCGGTCACCCCTTTGGCGGGTACGCAGAACCTGGATGCTTTCGCGGAGCAGCCCCTGTCTGGACTTGAGGCGTGAGTTGTGCACAGCCCTTGGATCTCGGAAAAGCTGCACCACTTTCAGGTTGAGGCCCGGGTCGCGTAGCAGGGGCACTAACACGCCCAAGTCCAGCAGGCGCACGTCTTTGATGACCACCACCGGGTACTTGCGGCACTCGGCCTCCAGAGCGCGCAGTGCCACAGGTGGGCAGCTGCGCTCACAGGCGGTGTCCTCCACGAGACCCACGTCGTTGCGGGCACGGGGTGCATCAGGGCACAGCGGTGGCGAGCAGATGACCTTGTTGGTTCGCCAACGGAAGAGGGCAGCCGTGGTAAGATTAGCTGCATCCGAGGCTCGTGCGGCAGGGTCCCCGGGTGGCGCGTAGAGCCGCAGCACGGAGAAGTCACAGCGGAAGAGCGAGCGCAACATGTCGCGCAGCGCGCCTTGCAAACTCTCTGCATCACCCGGATATAGCGCTTGCCACAGATGCCACATGGGCTCGTACAAGTAGAAAACGTCCGGATGCTGGTTAAAGAGCTCGCCCAGGAACGACGAGCCGGTGCGCCAGGTGGCGTGCACATAGATGTGTTGTTTCTCACGGGCCACAGCCTCCCCTATGAAGCTGAGGTTGTTTGGGGACCTGAGCGACTGATCTGCGCCCACTTCGGGGGCAGACCGCCCCTCGGAGTCCTGCTCACGTTCGCCAGCTGCCTCTGCCTCCAAGCTCCACACTCCCAGGCTGTGCTGCAGGCTGGAGCAGTGGCCGATGCCCTTATCCTGATCGCGGCTGCCGTCCAGCACGGAGGGGACCAGCAGCAGCATGAGTGTATACAGCACCAAGAGCAGCGCAAATTTGCAGTACTCACGGCGGCGGCGCCGCCGGCCCTTCATCTTTCACCCCTGTCCCGAGTGCTCTCCTCTGGCCTCTCTGGGGCCCTTTGAGTCGGGAGGAACGCCACCACAGAGGGAAACTTAGGAGGCAATAGTGCATTTAATGATCGCTCCCGCCCTCAGCCTCTGCTGAGGCGCCTATTGGTGGGCTGGGCAGCTGCTCGCCCCTCCTACAACTCCGCAGCTTTCTCCGCCTTTCTACCCTTCAGTGTTAGTATACTGCTACGCCGCTCTGGGTGGGGCTGTGACTGGCTGAGGGCGTAACAGCCAGATCCCACCTATCCGCCTAACCACTCCCGATGAAGTCAAGGGAGGGGCTCATGTGAACAAAATGTGCCACGAGAACTGGACACATTCCACCCTGGGAACTCCATTGCCGCTTCTGTGTTTTGTCCCCTGCTTGGTCATCTCTGTCCTAGGCAAATAACTACTTGTCAGTATCTGATTCCAGCACCCTCCTTTATCAGCCACAGTGTGGATGTTACAGAGCTCTGGATGCCCTTCCATCCACTCCTTCATATCCCCCACGTTGGTGAAGCTCCTTAACCACTTCCTCTCATGTTTTGCTCCCTGTTTAGTATTCAATTCAGAGATAGCAAGCCATTGTTTTATTGTATTTTTAAGTGCTGATATACGGTCTTGAGCTGGGCCTCAGGCTCTCACTTGGATTTTTCCTTTTAATACTAGTGCTCTACCACTTGAGCAACACCTCCACCTTGGGCTTTTTGCTGTTTAATTGGGGATAAAAGTCTGTCAGATTTGTCTTCCTGGGCTGGTTTCAAACCAGATGTTCTACCACCTGAGACATGTCCCCAGTCCTGACTAGGCAGTTTGTGCTGTGTGCCAGAGGACAGTCACTTAAGCTTGGGTAATAGTAGCAGTGAAGAAAAGTGGCTAGGTTGGAGGGATGTTTGAGAGCAATCAGAACAAGCAGAATCACAGGACAAAGACAGTAAAGGTGCCTAGCAGATAAGGGCAGTGAGAATTGGAGGCGCTAGGTTTGCATGAAGCCCTGGGTTTAAACCACAGAAAAGAAAATAAAACTGCCTTATCAACCTTTGGTTCTGAAGCTGAGTTTGTAGACCCCATGCCAAACGTACGCAAGTCCCAAGTTAAGGGATGTCCACTTGCCCCATATGCTAAATAAAGAGACATGGGGAAGGACAGAGACAGATTTATTAACTGGCAGCCATGGAAAGACACTTCAGTACATCTTTAGCCATCTTCAGGGGCATAGGCATTGGCTTCAGGCTAAATAGGGAGATTTGGGGGCAGTGGGTGAGAAAGGCATAGAAAGTTTAAAAACAATTCCAAGTCATAGATATGGCCTAGTTGGTCATCAGCTCAGTCTTTGGCTCTGGAACAAAACAGGAACAAGTTGCCTGATGGGTAATCTGAGTTTTTGGTTGTTTCCTTTAAGAAGATAAGAAGACACTGCCTGTTTGAGGGGCAGTTTGGCTTCCACACAAGATGCTTATCAATGAATCTTCTCTTTCCTGGAACCCAAGGTGATTGCAAAGGGAATGCTTCAGAGACTATCTCAGATCAAAGGGCACAGATACAAGCTTGGGAGACTTTTAGTGAGGTCACAGGGTTTAGCAAAAATGTCTTTTAAGTTGCATCTTACAATTGTAATTTCTTCTTTGATTTTGAGTCAGTGATGTATTTCAGTCGTATCACTCCTCTGTTCAGAACTGCTCTTGGCTTCCGATTGGCCTTTGGATGAAGATTCAAATCATTAAAACTTGTGAATTATGTTATTAGGGGTCTTGATCACCAGAGCTCATTGGTATCTATTCATTGTCTACTCATTGGGTCACCATTGCTCTTTGAAGGCAAACCAATGATGTTCCCCTCCCCCCAGAATAATATTAACAGAAATAATATTCAAATATTGTCTTGCTGGGGCTGAGACAGGTGTGAAGAATTTAAAGTGGATGGTGACAAGAAAAAGATGGGGATGGAGAGACAGGGTTAGGAATGTAGAATCTATAGGCTGGATAAAAAATGCAACCATAATTTGTGCTGGAAAATAAATTACTCCTTTTTTTTTGTTGTTGGCCGTGGGCTTGAACTCAGGGTCTAGGTGGTGACCCTGAGCTTTTTTGCTCAAGGCTAGCACTCTACCACTTGAGCCATAGCTCAATTTCCTGCTTTTTGGTATTGTGAGATTCATAGACTTTCCTTCCTGGGCTGGTTTTGAACTTCGATCTTCAGATCTCAGCCTCCTAAGTATCTAGGATTACAGGCATGAGCCACTGACATCTGGCTAAATCATTCCTTTTGATGAGTCTATTGTGGTGCCTTTTCTTCGATTCAGGAAGTTTCCAGAATCATAAACAGGAGTGTTAAAAATCATGTCTTTACTATTTTTAAAACCCCAGAACTGAACATTCAAGCTTGAAAAAAAGGGAAATGACTGGACTTCTTTAAAAAAAATTTTTATATCTTCATATCTATTTATTGAAAAATATTTTAAGGGTCAAGGCTATAGCTTAGTGGTAGAATGATTGTCTAGCATGCTGGAGGCCCTAGGTTCCACCCTAATACCACAAAATTGAATTTGTCAAGTGCCAGTCACTTATGTAGGCATGTCTCTGCCTCATATTTTCAGCTTTAAGCAAACACATTTCTCAGTATATATAATTTCTAACTGACCAAACTTGATGTGAAAGACAGGAACTCAGTTGTTTGGTTTTTTTTGTTTTTTGTTTTTTTGGGTCCGGTCGTGGGGCTTGAACTTCTGGGCCTGGGCACTGTCCCTCAGCTCTTCAGCTCAAGGCTAGCATTCTACCACTTGAGCCACAGCACCACTTCCGGCTTTTTTTCTTTTTGCTTATGTGGTGCTGAGGAATGGAACCCAGGGCCTCATGCATGCAAGGCAAGCACTCTACCACTGAGCCATCTTCCCAGCCCCAGGAACTCAGTTTTTATGTGAGGTTTTTTTTTTTTTTTGGGGGGGGGGATAAGGGGACTTTGTTTGATTTAGGGATTTATTTTTGGGGTACTAGTGTTTGAAGCTCTGAGGCTTTGACTTTGCTAGGTAGGCCTTCTACTGCTTGAACCACACCGTCAGCCCTTTTCCCTCTTGTTAGTCTTGAAATAGGGTTTCACTTTTTGCCCTAGGCAACCTGAACCACACTCTCCTATTTTGTGCTTCCTGCTACAACTGTGATGACAAACATGTGCTACCCAACCCATTGGTTGAGATGAATTCTTGTGATCTTTTTACCAGGACCTGCAATGTTTGACTCAAATAGTTAAGAGTTATAGGAGTGAGCCACTGGCACTCTTAAGGGTTTTTGTTGTTGCTGTTAATGTTGTTTAAAGATAGGGTCTCGTTTTGTAGTGCAGGCTGGCATTGAACTCACGATACTTCTACTTCAGTCTCTCAAGTGCTGGGAATATAGGCATGTACTACCACACCCAGCTTTGTGAGACAAAAAGGTCTGCTCTAGATTCCCAGAAGTGCTGCTGAGCTAAGACCTAAAGATGAAGGGAAAATTAAAGGAGGTGGAAGGGAAGCAGTAGCAGGAAGGAACATGACCATTTCATATAGACATTCTTACATATTTAGTTTTCACATGAACTTTACTATCCACTTGTGCTATATATAGGGTCTAGAATGTCCCTGAAGGTAACTATGGCAAAAGTTTGGTCACTAGCTTGTTGTTATTTGGCAGGTGGTAGAGAGTTTAAGAGGGGGGAGACTAGAGGGAGATATCCTACTCACTGGAGGTATGCCCTTAAAAGGGATATTGGGACCCTAGCCCCCTTCTCTCTCTTTCTTTTGTTCCCTGGCCATATGCTGCTGCCAACCCATTACAGACTGAAACCTCTAAAGCTGTAAGCCAAAACAAATGAGGACTTTTTATAAGTTAATTTAACTCAGGTGTTTTATTATAGTAAGAGAAAGCTACCTGGCACAATTTTTCCAGGGCCAGAATAAAATCTTGTTATTTTATTGAGTGTAGTAAATTTACAAAATTACTTAGGAGAGAGAATACAGATCTTTATGATGTTAACTTGGACTAGTCAAGGAAAAGCATGTCTTTCCATTTGTTGAGATTATGTGTGTGTGTGTGTGTGTGTGTATGTGTGTGTGCGTGTGCACACGTGCACGTGCACTCCTCCCCCCCTCCCCAACCAGTACTAGGGCTTGGATTTAGGACTAAGGTGCTGTCCCTTAACTTTTTCACTAAAGACTGGGGCTCTACAATTTAAGCCACAGCTCCACTTCCAGCTTTTTGGTGATTCATTTAGAGATAAGAGATTTAACAACTTTCTGCTTGAGTTGGTTTTGAACCATGATCCTCGGGTCTCAGCCTCCTGAGTAGCTTGTATTATGGACAAGGGCCACAGTTGCTTGGCTTTAAGATTGCTTTGATAACATTGCAAAAATTTGCATGTTTCTTCTGATTTGTTCTTAGGAGGCTGAGGGTATAGCTCAGTGGTAGATCATATGCTTAACATGCATGATGTCATCAGTTTGACCTTTATTCACCTCCCCCCCAAATTCCTCTCAGGTGCTTTATCTTCATTTTTGCTGTTGCAGATTTTTTCCCCCTAAGTTTACATTAGATAATTAGTTATTATGTATATGAAGAAATTGATTTCTATGTTTTTATTTTATATTTTATTAACTTACCAAATTCTGTCATTAGTTTTTCATGTTGACTCTTTCAGAGGTTACCATGTTTATTGTCATACTATCTGCAAGGAAAAATAGCTGTTTTTTGTTTTTTGGGGTTTTTTTGGTCTGGTTGTGGGACGTGAACCCTGGGCCTGGGAGCTGTCCCTCAGCTCTTCAGCTCAAGGCTAGCACTATACCACTTGAGCCACAGTGCCACTTCTGGCTTTTTTTTCCTGCTTATGTGGTGCTGAGGAATCGAACCCAGGGCCTCATGCATGAAAGACAAGCGCTCTACCACTGAGCCACCTTCCCAGCTCCTCTCAATGCATTTTAAATCTAACTTCTGCACATCAGATAGACTTATCTCACTTAACTTGATTTGTTCTAGTTCCCTGCAAATGACCCTGC